GTTTGCGCTTCTTCGATCTCTGTCGCTCGCAATCGAACTCTCTAGCTATTCTTCATCGATCTCTGTCACTCAAGGGCTTTGCTCTAGCTGTTCTTCATCGAACTCGAACTCGATCTGTTCTTCATCAAATCGCAGATCCAAAATCCAAAATCGATCTGGTAAAAATTCATTCTGTTCTTCATCAAATCCATTCTGTTCTTCTTCAAATCCATTCTGTTCTTCTTCAAATCCATTCTGTTCTTCTTCAAATCCATTCTGTTCTTCTTCAAATCCATTCTGTTCTTCTTCAAATCCATTCTGTTCTTCTTCAAATCCATTCTGTTCTTCTTCAAATCCATTCTGTTCTTCTTCAAATCCATTCTGTTCTTCTTCAAATCCATTCTGTTCTTCATCCTCTCGCTCCTGGTTTTTCAAGAACTCGATTTTGTGTAGTGGTAAAAATTAATAAACAAATAAAATGTAGCGAGAAACTCATTTACTATAGCATCATTCATTTTATATTTCAAGTTTAGAAGTTTGAGTCGGTGATGTTGAGTAGTGTAGCTTGTTACTTTGTATTTTAAAATCCTCTTCCCTGTTGCTTTGATTGATTGTAGACTTTTTGCTTCACTTCCTTTCAGCGTTCGTTGATAGTGGTGCTCAGTCAACAATCATATCTAAAAGCTGCGCTGAGCGCTGTGGGTAAGTTCTATTTATTGCACTTAGTTCTGAACAATTATACCTTGCTTCCTTAGAAAGATTAGTAATGCAGATTAACATACAAAAACCTGCGCGTGCTTGAACTACCTGTAGATGCATGCAAACACCTGATTAATATTTGACTTTTGTACTTGTGTAGAACAATTCTAAATGAGCAACCAATCCATTTCATTCCTATCGAATTGGCATCTCTTCCATGTGTTCTTAGTTTGTTTTGCGTTATTTTAGGGTAGGCCAAATGGCAATGTGGTGTGAATATGAATCATGGAGTAGAATGACAATGTGGCAGGGACATGAATCATTGACATTACCCATGTCCATTACATAGATGAACCTCTCTGAAATTAGTGGTTATAACTTATAGCTTATTTATGTGATTGCTCAAGTTAAGGTAGTGTCTGGTGTGCAAATTTATGTGATTTCTGTGAGTCTGTGCCGTCGTCTTATTGATATAATTCGAAAGATGGTTGACCCAGAGGAAATGTGAAGTGAAGTTTTCATTGTTGTAACTTGTACCTTTGTCATTTGGAAGAGATCTTTCTATGGCTATTGCACACATTATTCAGTTGGTAACTAGGTAAGATGGAGTTGAATAATGCCATTCGTGTTTTAATACATTATAGTTGGGTAACCGGCTTAAGCTAGCTACTACTTGTATTTTTTTGTTTCCTCCATTTGTAAAGATTGTCATCCTGGTATTTGAGTTTTGGATCTTCATGTGTTCACTTAATCCAAGGCCTTATTTATTTATACAATAATGTGGTGAAAGGTATTCTTGCAACTCGAGAGTGGGAATTTGGAAAGTAGCGACTTGAATACTTAACAAACAGTTGACTATATAAGAGACCTTGAGACTTTGTTTACTTCAAGATTACAAAATAGCATGTAGGAAATTACATATGTTTTAGCTGAAGAATTCAGTACAGTGCAAACAAGCCTTGTAAATGGGGAAAAGGGCCAAGCCCTGGTTCAACACACACCTTTTCTACCTAAAAACTGCAAACAAGCTAAAGAACCAAGAGCTCCAATAGAGACAATCTTCTAAATTTTCTTTAAAAAAATTTAGTATCTGATTTCTCTTTAAAAAAAATTCTTTACTATGCGAGATGAAAGTTTAGTATCTCTTTTTTGTACTATTGTAAACTTGTATGCTAACATTTTATCTTTGTTTCTTTCTTCTTTCTTCTTTTTTTTTTAAAAAAAAAAAAAAAACATTTTTAGGTTGGGAATGTGTTTTACCCGTGTTCCTTCGTGGCTTTGGATTCTCCTAATATGGATTTCCTTTTTGGGCTGGATATGCTTCGTAAGCACCAGGTAACATGGTTATTCTTTCAAGCTGTTTAAATTTATGACTTTCTCCAAAATCCAGAGTGGTTAAATAGTTAGTTCTAAATAGCTACTGGTTGCAGTGCATAATTGATTTGAAGGAGAATGTCTTGAGAGTTGGTGGAGAAGAGGTTTCAGTACCCTTTTTGCAAGGTTGTTTTGTGTTTCCCACACTATCTGCACTACTTGCGTTATTTACTTTTTCACTAGTGGTTAATTTCCATTGAATTGATTTGTTTGTCTGTGATTTCTGGATTTTTTGAAAAGCTTAAATTTTGGATTTATTTCAGAAAAAGACATTCCAACTAATTTTCTGGATGAAGTTGCAAAGCAAGCCTCAAGCTCTGGAGCACAGGTAGGGATATTCCTGATCATGTGCTTTCACTAAACGGATTATACTCTGATAATTGCAGTGTGATGGTTTGTTGAGAAGATACATAAAAATGATGTGGAAAACAGGCAGGGAAAACAACAAAGGAAAATTTGTTGAGAAGTTCATTTTTAAGGGGTATATAGCATTCAGTCAGAAACTTCTCTTAAGGTTTTTATTGATGATGTTAACATTTTTTTTTCATTATCTTTGTCAGTCAGAAACTACTATTCTAAAAGTAGTGTGCCTTTAATCTTAGTTATTATCTTTGTTTCCATTTAACTGTCGTGATCCCATTTTGTATCGGAACTCTGTATCAAAATTTTGTTCGTTGATTATACTATCGTAGACTAAAAAAAAAACGATTTAGATTATTAAGATAACTTATAATGAATTACATGGGCATAAATAGTACAATTCATTCCATAGATATGTGCAGGAGATTGAAGGATGTTACAAGTGATTGGCTTTTCCCACTTTTTGCGGTTATATCAACCATTTGCTTGGTGGATTTAGACAACTGTGACATGTTGCTCCCTTTTTTTCATGGTTGTTGGTGCAAAGGACGCGTACCATCGCAGTGAACTATTGTAATTACGAATTTGACGCTTCTTCCTTTTTCTTGCTTTGACTTAAAAAAAGGAGTATAAGAATCTAACGCACATGTTATCTTGCAGGGTATGATATGCAGTTCGATGTAAAATATGCTTACTTCAACTTCTTACAATCAATTCCTCACCCATCATCCCATGGTCTGACACCACATGAAATGGGATTTGTTGGATCATCCTCAGATACATCTATTTGCTATTTAGGAGATGAACCAGATATCAATGCTATGGAGAGGGTGAATGTGGCTGAAAACGGAGGTGACAGTGACGAAGAATGAATAATGATGTGTTAATGAGGGTGGTTTGATCTTTTGAGGAGCTCTTTGGTGAGAAGATGCAGAGTGTAGAACAGAGAAAAAGCCGGAACATCTTCTATGTTTGCATCATTGAACTTTTGAACAGGTTTTGGGGAATTTTGCCTGCTGGTTGAAGATATGGTGACAGAACTATCTCTTAGTATTCTCAGTAAGTTGGGTCTCTTCAAATATTTTTTTGTAGAGTTCTTATTGTCAGTGGGAGAGACTGCTGCTAAAGTAGGTTCAATGAACGAGGCTCCCGCTAAAGAATGGTTTGAGAAGAGCAAGATGTTTTGATGTTCTTTGAAGTACCAAAAGTGACAGCTATGTTTTGATTGGAAATTGGTGGTTTTATTTTCACTTTGTGACTTCTATTTTTGTTTATTTATTTTTCTTAAATGAAGAACCAAACAGAAGAAAAAGAGGGAATAATAACAATACCCGCAGATTGCTTGGTCTTAGTAATCACATAACTCTGTAATATCAATTTTCAACAAAATTTATGATCAATGATTGAATCACAATGACCATCACGTTATATTTACTCTTTTTTATATATATTTTGAATGGATTTATTTTACCATTCAAAATGGTATTTTATTTCATATTCTTGCATCAGTAGTAGGGAACCCCCCCAAAAAAAAAACAAAAAAAAAAAGAGAAAAAAGTGGCGTTTTTTAAAAAAATGCCATAAAATGAAAAAAGTGACGTTTTTTGAAAAAACGCCACAAAATGACGTCATTGTAGGGAGTAGCACAAATTAAAAAAATAAAAAACGCCACTAAATGACGTCATTGTGACGTCACACGTTAATTTGGGACGGAGGATGAGACGGTCGTCAAAGATTTTACGGCGTTTTCTAATATTTTTAGTGACGTTTTTTAAGCGTTGGGTAGCTATTGCGGCGGCCCTATCAGCGGCGAAAGTTTTACACGTCACTATAAGATATTACGGCGTTTTTCAGGTTTTTCGCGGCGTTTTAAAAACGCTGCTAAAGAACGAATTTCCTGTAGTGTGGATATCAAGTTATAAAAAAAAAAAAATTAAAATTAAAAAAAAAAAATAAAAAATTAGACAAAATTTTCGATAACTCTTTGAAATAACTCGAATTTGATGATTTAAATCTTATTTTCACGTTTTAACAGGCCAGCCAACCATTGGGATGGAATGTTTCAGTCCTTGATGGAGAACCGTTGATCATATTCTGACAAACCATAACCACTGATTCAGATTGCAAACAACAAAGAATGATCAATGAGTATTAGAGTTGGAGATGATTTGTGACTTACACTTTGGGCCTAAAGTCATGAATGCTATCTTTGAGTCCATTGCCTCATCAAAACTAAATCTTCGAAGTCCATAGAATTGGATCCAAAGAAAGATATATGTCCATGTGGTCAACAACCATGGCACCATGCCAAATGTATATAATCTCTCTCTCTCTCTCTCTCTCTCTCTCAGGGGACAGGGAGGCAATAGTACATTTTGACAATCAAGGTGAGCATATTAAAGTGTTAATTAAGTACAACTCAACTGTAATAATTAATTTTAGATAATCCATTCTTTCAAGGTAAAAACAACACTAATAAGCGCAAAACCACTCCAACAAGAAATGGGATTAGGGTTAGTCCTCAATTTTGAAAAAGGTATTAACTTAGTAAAAAGTAATTAGCGTTGATACCTAGTTTAATCGATTTTCCCAACTATAGCTCGAATTTATTTGTAATTTTCATTACATCTAGATAGATATTTATTTAGATTATAGTAGACAAAATAACAAATAATCGTCGTTGGACAAGAATGTAACCGACAAAAAATTGATGATCACGTGAAATAATCATAGCCATCCACATGGGCATGTGCATTGATGATTAAACTCATAATTTTTTGCTAAAAGATTGATTAGAAAAACACAAAAAAAGAAAAAAGAAAAAGAAGAAGAAGAAGAAAAAAGAAGTGAATGTGAGCAAATTTTTTAATTACTCAGTTTTTATTTTTTTTATATATATATTTATTTTTCTTAATTTTGGATGGGTAATTAACGAATTTGCATCAAGTATTTGCAAAATATTGGTAGACTGCTACATTAATTTGTTAGTCTAAACCAAGCCTAAGCTACATGGTTTTAATTTATTTTATTGTCTCTATGCTGCATAGTTGGAAACTTAAAATTGAATTGATATGCTTATTACAATATCCGTTTTTAAGGATATGTAAGTTAGAAATACATTCTCTGAGTTTATTTAAAATACAAATTATTTGTTATGGTTATAAAAATTATATCCCACCCCTTTCAATTGTATAACAAATTATTATTATTTTTTATTAATAAATCATTAAGTTAGGTAATGACTTCTAATGATATCAAATTTATATTTTAATTAATAATTTTGTTAATTTTATTATTGCGTAAAAGGGTAGTCAATAATTTATTTTTATTTTTTTTCTTCAATTAAATAAAAAATTCTATTAAAAAATAATTGTAATTTTTAAAACTACAAAGAATAATTGATATTTTAAATAAATCTTAAAAACGTATTTGTAATTTAACCTTAAGTATATAACATTTTTTTAGGAAAGTTAGTGGCGGATTTTATAGATCATCTCAATCATAATCTCGGTATTAAAAAAGGGGACACTTTTTCATAAATTCCTTTTCATCTACTTATGTTTCAGTTAGTTCACATTATTTTTTTTTATATTCTAATAAGTCCTATGAGCGACATAGTTACCAAAATACCCCTAATAATATTTACATTTACAATGTGAATGTTTCGTGAGATGAATATTTACACCGTCAATGTGAATGTTCAGACTATCAATATGAATATTCACATCGTCAATGTGAATGTTCACACTATTAATGTGAATGTTAATATGTCAATGTGATTGTTCACACTGTCAATGTAAACATTCACACGTTAATATAAATATTTACATTGTAAAATATGAATGTTTACATCACCAAATTGCTAACTGTTTAAAAAATAATTGTAAAGGTAGAAATGTCCATAAAATACTTTAAATATGAGAATTAAGACTTGGTAGATCCAATGTTCAAATAATAGAACTTATTGAAATACAATAATATCTTCTAGACTAATTAAAATTCAAACACTTGAAAAAAGATTTTCTAATAAATCTTCGGTTAAAAAACCTTTTGCATCTAATGTTCTTGTAGTATGTCCACAACAAATTCCTTTAATTAAGCCCCTCTTTTCACAACTTGACTTTTTAATGCAATATTAATGTACAAAAAATTCTAATTTATGAACTTATATTCTATAAAAAATTTTAGAATCTTCAAGTCTCATTAAATTTTTAATAATCGAAATTATCCTTCAAACAATGATTATTCATCATTTATGATTATCTATAAATGAACATGGTGATTTGACATTTATTTTGATTTTCAAAACTTTAAAACATCAACTTTAAATTGAAAAAACTATAATAAAAAAAAATTATGTGCAATTTTATTTTATTTATTTATTTATTTTTAAAAGAAAAAATTATTTTTTTGTGCAAAACTGAAAATTTTGTGTCATGATGATTAGGGGTGGGTGTAGGTCAGTTGCAGTTACGGAACCTCTAACCCGCCATCCGTCTGCCAGATTGGTAGATTCGAAAAAATCAATCTGCATCCGTCCGTCAATCCCGTGGATTTGGATTAAGCGGATTGGCGGATGGATGCAAATTGGTTTTGCAGTTTAAAATTTTATAAATTTTCAACATAATTCAACTTGTGCACTTCCTCAAAAAAAAAAAATAATAAATAAAATCGATGACTTAAAAAAGTGTTACAATCACTGCATGCTTAATCCAAAGAAAGAAAGTTTGAAACTTAAGAATATTATAATCACTGCATACATCATCTACATATTACAATCGCAGCATGCCTCATCTACATAAAGTATTATAATCTATGGTTCTTAAAATATATAAACAATTCAAACCATCAAAACAATGAACAGAGCAGTAGTAGTGATTGTATGAATCTATATTGTTATATTTATATCTGTTTTTGAAAATAAAAACTAATCTGCATATATCATCTTTTTTATTTATTATTTTTAAAGTTAGATTTAAAAACCAAAAAATATAGATAAATAATACATTTATTCTTTCCAATTTAAAAAATATATTCAAGTTGAAAACTTTTTTTCAACAGCATATATTCAACAAAATATTTAAATTCTTTTTCAATTGAAAACACAAATAGAATATCTAAATAAATTGAAAACACAAAGTCTTACAAATTACTAGGGTACTCGCAGTTTGGTAGTTTGGTGGCAGCAAAAAGAACCTCAAATCCGTCATCTGCCAAAACTAGGCGATTTAGAAAAAAATCAATCTGTAACCGTCCGCTCGTCATCACGCATCTATCCAAAATGCGGCGGATCAGATCGATTTGGGTAGATCGGTATATCCACTACTCACCCCTAATGATGATGAAACATTGATGTGCAAAACTAAAAGAAAAACTTTAAAAATGAAAAAAACTAATAATATTCTCAGCTTTAAAACTAGAAAAAACTGATAATATTCTCGATTTTATTGGATAATTGAATCAAACCAATAAGTAGAAGGGCGAAAACGTTTAATCTCATAATTTGTTTTTTTCCAGAGTTAGCAAAACAATTATCTGGAACATTACTATGCAAAATTGATAATACTCTTAGTTTTAAAAAAGGTATGGCTTCTGTCCAGTCCGAGATCAGACTGGACCGTGCTGTTGGGCCCGTGGGAGCCCACCACGGGTCTCCTTTTGATAATCTGAACCGTCAATGTGTAGAACTTGACGAGTACTATATGCTTGTAAAAAATCACGTTGATCGGATGTCGATAGTTATATGATCAAATCAGTTTCGTATTAAAAAAATTGGACGGTGAACAAATTAGCGGTTGACAAAAAACTGT